CGTACAAATAAACGCGGAAATGTTCCACTGCTTCCACAATCGTCAAGGTTTCCATATCGTAAGAATGATACCTTGATTTACAGTCTGTAGTTCTGCGGCTAAGTACGCTACAGGTTGTACGACATTATTTTCTTTCTGAAGAAGTGCTGCCCCAAGTTCTATCGAGCTTGCATCTGTGTGTAGTTGACACTCTAGTTCTGGATTGTAAATCCTCAAAATTGGAGAGCTCGACAATTTTGCGATTACCATTTGGCGTGCACTTTCACATTGCATTGTCCATTGGAGGGGTCAACGTCGCGAAATATTTTATGAACCGGCGGAAATAACTGGCAAGTCCCATAAGCCGCTGTACACATTTTAAGTCCGAAGCCGCCGGAGCTTTAATCAGTGCCATCACTTTTCGAGGACTAGGGCGGGTCGACCCTCCACTTACGACGACGCCCAAGTACCCTGTCTCCGTTGCGAAGAACGTACACTTTTTGTAATTTAAGCAAAAACCACCCTTAGCGAGAGCACTCAACCCTTCTTTTGGTTCGTCATTCCTTCTTCAATTGTAATGGAAGGTACCATGACATCATCCAAGTAGACAACCGCTTTTGTACCTTTTAGATCACCCAATGCTTTGTCCATAGCGCGTTGCTACATCGCTGGAGCTTTGACCTAATCACAATTTAATTCAGAAACCATATTCTGGTTGAAAATTATCTAATAATCCACTGGTGGATTTTTGCACCACTGAAACATCAACTAAATAAAATTTCACTACTTTTTGAGGTACTGTTCAAAACATGCCGTATGTAAATGTTGTTCACATTTTTCACATATATGTTGTATGTTTATGACAAATTTTACACTTCCTCCGGGCTTTTGTTTCGTGTAAAATTGGATAATGACCGATATTGTCGAACCTTATTTCAGGAATGCAATTTGTAGGTTGATATTTTCGACATCTGTAATTAGCAATCCCATTGTCACGTAGGTCCACACAACCCATTGATTTATTATATTCAGCAATCACGTTTGGTTGTGAAATTTCTATTTCTTTCTTTTATTTCCTATTGTATCCTTTTTGCAAGTTTTACTGGGTCAACAGTAAAATTATTACTACATACCGTGACCACAGAGTTGTCGTTCCAACGTAGCAAACATACTTTTTAATTTTCCTCAAACGCATGATCATATGTTCCTCTTTCTTTTTTGCCAATGGTTTTTATACTTTCAAGAGGAAAGATGAAAAATAATTATCAAAAAATATTTGATGGTGAAAAGAATTTTTTACTATTTTTTATCACCACGCATGCCGATGTTAGATTTAGTTTTATGTTGTTGAGATCCACCAATGAATAAAATAGATATCCACCAGACGAACAAAGACACCATATTTTAAAACCAAATCGAACAGGCTTACCTTTGATAAACGTTTTACATGAATGTCGCTGTGCGACGTGGCATGTACCTTTAAAAATGTCATCGAGAACGATGCGCACTAGCTTGATTTGGGTTGTCATTTGACATCATCCATAAACTGAAAATTAGATCTTAACGTGGAAAATTTTAATTTCCGTCGCTACTAAATCGATGAAAAAAGTTTGTCCAAATTCACCACTTTATTTATGAATTTGTCTGCACAACTTCTCTTTGATAAAATTGCCTTCAAACTCGTATAAGTTTTTCTACCTCCTACACGTTTCGATGAAACAAGTGTTTCACCTTCATTACAGCTTTTCAAAATTTTGTGCACAGTGAAGCGAGATAGCTAATGTAACGAAACGTGCGGTAATTGAAACTAAGAATACTCATGAAAGTCAGTTTTTTAACCCATCGCTCTTCATATCGTTGACTTGTTCTCTTATTAAATCTACTACACTTGCACCTAAATTCGGTGACGTATTATTTTTTCTAACACTCCTTTTCAGTGTACTCCACACCATTTCGTTCGGGTTGAGTTCACAATAATAGGGTGGTAATCGCAAAATCACGTGACTACTTCTCGCAGCCATCTCATCGAGTAGGTATTTGATAGGTATATCCCACTTCTGAATAACTTGTAGCAATACTTTCTTCGTAATTTTTCCTCCAGGAATTCCGATATTATTGGTTCGCATGTAATTTAAAATTTCGTATTTTTGTTTGTTTTCTTCAATAATTGCCTTAAATGATATTTGGCGTTGTGCATAAGAATGACAGCATTGGGCGAAATATTTGGAAGTAGTTGATTTTCGAACCAGCGTTCAAATAAAAGGCCATCCATGTCTTGATGATAATCCGCTGAACAATGCTTTATATTTTTTAGCAGATAGAAGAAGACATCCAGGGATCCAGCCATTTTCGTTCCCCGCGTGAAGAATAATTATTCTTTTTCCACGACTTGGAGGAACATTCAGTACACATCTACTTGAATTATTATCTATGGTACCTCTTTTAGAAACATCGTATGGTATGAACCAGGTATCGTCCAAGTAGATGATCGATCTACCTTCGACATGAAATTTTCTAATCTGAATAATATATTCAAGCCGTAGTTTTTTCAGCCGAGGACTTTCCATAATTGCTGCTCTTTGGTTTACTATTTTATAGTAGAAACCGATACTTCGCAGATATAATCTCAGAGTTTCTTCCGAATAGTCGAACTATATTGCACTTATCTGATTCATATATCGTATGTTTAATTTCTAAACCTAAATTTGCATGAATTTTAGTACTGTTCAAAAGTGCGCTTCTTCATTCTAGCAGCTTTTCTACTAATTATTTTTTGAAGAGTGGTATATGGCACTAGTGTAACTTCACTCGTTACTTTCATTGGAGCGGTACATTGTTTACTTACAAGACCCTGGTTTACAAGCTTGAACATTCTCATCTGTAGTGGCAGGTTGTTGTTCCACAATTAATTCGGCAGGTTGTTGTGCAGCACCACGTTCTTCTAGGGGCTGATAAATGATGTTTTCCCGATGAAACAAGGTACGAAAAAAAAATGCACCACTGGATCAACGTACAAGCTCGAATACCAAATGTAAAATACTGTAGAGGGATGCATACAGCTTATATTTATTTACAAGTGAAATATTTTTCCCAAAAGTTATTAATCACTTCATTTGAAAGCCGATTAACGGAGTGGTGGATATAGACATTTAGTGAAAGCCGCCCATGAACGAAACGACAGCGGTCGAACTGCAATGGACATGTTATTGACGACTCTGAAACCTTTTCTATTGTAAACAACTTAACTTCGACACAATGGGATAATTACTTTATTTTTTATTTTCCATTCCATAAATTTTTGGTAAACGATTTCATATCTTTCACACGACTTTGTGGGCAATAGATTGTCGATAGCCATTTTGGCCTTTTCAATTACCTCCGTAAAAAGAGAGCAATATTGATTTTTTTCGTAGTTGACTGGTTCGTTTTCTCCTTTTAAAATTCTTTGATTACTCCTTTTACTAACAGCAACGCTAACAGTGCCCACAATTTTGTATTTGCCTGTCATTCTTGCCATTTTCACTACCAACCTGAATTGAATAAATCGAAAAATTCCTAACTGGGCAATCGACTTTTCTTACGCACGCTGTGAATAAGGATACGCACAGATGATTAGCGAGTTGTGTGATCTTAACGATTTACAGTGGTGATGGTAGAAAAAATAATTAATGATACAAGCTAAAAATGTTTTTCCAAAGATAGCCTTTTTTTAAACTAAAAATTTTAAGGAATCTATCATGTTTTTCCAAAGGTGTTTTCGATTTCGTTTAAACAAATTCACCTGTGAAAACTTTTAAAATTTAACCATTTTACCCTGTTTGTATATTTAAAAAAAACTAATATTTCAAAAATTTTACTGTTATTAAGATAGGTATATTAGCAAGTTACAATGTTAAGGCATTTTGATCTATGTTTAAGTTTTTTACTAGTAAGGCTCCTTCAAAACACATCGTTTCTTATCAAATCTACCCGATTTTCAAGGTACCTTTGTTAAAAGGTAAAATTCCCCTTTTTACCCTATTTTTCTTGTTGGGCCACCTCTGCACAAAAATGAATACGGTATCGGCCAAGCAAATTCACCTTTCTGCACACACTATTTTTTATCAAATCTACCCTATTTTTCAAAATACCTACCTTTGTTAAAATTCGCTTTTTTGCCATTTTTCTATTGGGGGTAATTTCAGCAGACATATATATACGATTTGGGTCAAACAAATCCGAACAAGTTCCTCATGAGCGAAGCGAATTCACAGCCCTGTTTTTAAAGATACCTGTATTGAAAAAAAAAAAAAACAAATAATTTATTGTCTAATTGGATGTAGGCGCACTGGAACACACAGACGTCTCTTCGGAGCTAGAAGATTCAGATGTGGACTCGGAACTGTAAAAACTACCTACATAATTATATGTATTAAATAGGTTTAGAATGTTACGTACCCAATCAGTTGTCTTATCTGTTTCAACGCGCGAGCGATTTGCCTATTCGATCGAAAATGTATCACAACTTCTTGTGAGTTATAATATAATTTTAACACAATGCCCCACTGTCCCTCGTCATGAAATCCTCTAATATTGCAAGGCACAAAATACAAGTTTAGTACTCCTGGATGATCCGCTTGAATTACAATTGCCTCTGATGAAATCAAAACTGTGGCGTAATATTGACGGCCTAAGCCGACAATTTTCACATTGAACACTTTCATGATTTGACTCTCATCACGACGTTGCTGCACTTCCAGTAGAGAATTTATTAATGCTTTTATCTCTGCAAAAAAAGTTTTTTTTTACTGTTCTACAGCTTTTGCATCATACCTTCTCCCATGTTGATAACGATAAACATAAACACATTAATCTGTACTACAGTTGTGTCGTGATAAAAAGAAATCTGATTGACACAATATTGAATAATATTGCCTTGGTTACAATATGTCATAACACACTAATATTTCCCAAGAGAAATATGAAACGCTCATATTGTCCCAAGGGAAATATGAATCGTCATATTTCACTATACAAATGTCTTATTTTTTACCGAATGTCATGACCGTAAATTCATATAACCCGAACGGTGTGCATACGGCTGTTTTGGGTATGTCTTCGTCAGCTACTCGGATCTGGTGGTACGCGCGCACTAGGTCGACTGTGGAGAAGACGGTCTTGCTTGCCTTCTAGCCGATTCGCGAAATTCTGGATGTGGGGGATTGGGTACCCATCTGGAGTTGTCACTCCGTTCAGTCTTCGGTAATCCCCACCATCCGCTCCATCTAGTCCCCAAGAAAGCCCTACATTCTCCCGGGGCTTTCTTGGGGACTAGATGGAACGGACTCGCCCAAGGGCTGCTAGATGGTCGGCACCAAGCTTGGTCCAGCATGTACTGAAATTCCGTTTTCGCCGCTTTCAGCTTGTCTGGTGCCAATCTTCGAGGTTTCTCCGCATTTGGGGGTCCTGTGGTGAAAATGTGGTGTGCAACTGGGTTGGGGATGTTGCTGACTGGGGGTGGTGCTCTTGTGATTTCTGGGCACTGCGCTAAAAGGTTATGATAGGTGGAAATTTTTGCCACTGTGGTGATTGCATTGTTGCCACAAGGTAGCAAACTTCCATGTGCAGACAGTTTGGTCATCGAATCTACTAGTGGTAGGAAATCTGCACCAATGATAGGTTTTTCAATATCGGCTATAACAAAAATCCATTTGAAAGTTGTTCGCAGCTTCAAGTCGAGAACCATTAGTTTCTCTCCATACGTATGTATCGCAGTGTTGTTGGCTGCAAATAGTGTCGTTTTAGTGGGTGGCAATGACTTTGTCTTACCTGCGAAGGTTTTGGGCAGGACAGATATTTCTGCTCCGGTATCGATAAGATAACGAATACTGGAGTTGGGATCTGCCACAAAGAGACGGTGCTGTCTCCCGTCGGCGCGTGCCGCCTCAACCAACAACGGCGTTGTTAGTTTTTTTGTTGATCGAAACTACATGGTCTGTAGCATTTCCGGGTGGCGGCCCCGAATTTTTCGTGAAAATAACACATGCCGTTTTCATTTATTTGTTGTCGCTTTCTTGACCTTGACCTACTTCTTTTGAAACTTCGGTTATCGTGGTTATAATGTCTGAAGTTGCGTCCTCGGTCGGTAATTAATTGTTCTACAGCAGCCGTTAATGCTGCCACCTGCTTGGGTTGAAGTCGCCACAATCAGTTCCTACCAAAAGAACTCAGCATTTACGATGGTAGAAAAGTTGCCCATTATGTATTCATGTTGCCGAAAACATTTTCTTCGCTGAATTCCAAAACACAGAGGCAAGTACGTTGCTTAGAATCATCATCATAATTTGAAGTATAATAGCGGAATAGTGGAATACAGTGCTTTATCAAATTTAATATTCAAACATTTAATAGAAGATGAAATCAGCATTATCTATGTTAAAGGACATAAAAAATCGGCTTTCATCAAATCTCAACTCGATGAACTGACACCACCAGGAGTTGAAATACCCCTCGTCATCGATTTGGAAAAAAATAATACAATCCTTAATTTGATTCCAACTGTGCCCGCATGTTTGCATCATTTTTTACGAACGCCCTGTTATTTTAGCTTATCAAATGTATATACTATTTATAATTATATAAATAATGCCGTCTTAAATGCAATAAACTAATAAAATACTTATTAAATTTATATTTTATTAAAAGTAATTACAAAAAAAGGAATTTAGAAAAATATCTTTCTTTATCTTCCTGAGTTAACGTAGACCACTTCTTCTTTATCTGTACAAACAAATACCAATAATATGAACACATTGTTATACCTACAAATATCATGTAAAAAATTGAATTTCTAAATTGGAAACTTACCAAAAAGCTTAATAAACCAATTTAGTTTCCAATGTTCCATAGCATCGTCTATTGTATACTCTGCAATGATGATCATTTTTACAACAGCCCAACGAAAGCCTGATAAGGAACCACATCTATTAGCGATAGATGGATACCAAAAGTAAATTATCAGTAAAAATCCTATTACGTCGAATGCGCTTGATACTGAAATTAATTTTCAGTTTTCAAAATTTGTTGTAGGGCGTAATGCGCCCTTCTTGAATTTGTTGCATCATGTGATCCTCCACTCATTCTAATGTAACTAAACATAGATTCCACTGCATCAGAACTGAATCTTCTTGTTAGAACATAATAAAAGTGAGTGTCATTAAGTAAGTATCGTACACATGCACTAGTACTTTTCGAGGGAAAAATAATTGCTTGTGCAGTTTTTTTGGTTAATCCTTTCATTTTTTTAATTTGGAATTTTTTTGAGCATCAAAAATATATTCAGGAAAAATGTCTTCCAACCATGTAAATCTGTTGTCATTAATATCATAATACGGTTCGCAATTAACATTTATTTGTTTAAAATGCTGTGTACGACTATTACGTATGTCGTGTCGTCTAATTCAAAAAATTTGTAGATGTTTTGCAAATATTCAATTATTGTAGCATTTGCTTCACTGAAATCAAATTGAGCAGTGTTAAATTTAGATAAATATTCTAATGCTGTTGTTACTGCAGGAGAGAATATTTGTATTGCTCTCAGCACGTTCATTTTCTCAAAAGTGGTAGGGGCAATATGTGTTTTGGTAAGAAATGGCACTGGTTTTATAATATAATTTTTCTGTAGATTGTGGAATTTTTTCAGATACTCGGCGGATATTATACCTGAAGTTGAAGTTGATCTAATAGTATGGAACGAGCGTTCTTGACAACATGCCATTTGATCGCCATATCGTCTATTACGAGTGAACATACTTTTTCGATATCTTTTAAATTATCTGCCTCTAGCTTCAGCCTTGTTTCAATTAGAGTAAATACGCTTTGTCCGCCTTGAAAAGTGCCAGTTTATATTCATTTAAAGTCGTCCTTGAGGGCGCTTTTAAAACAGAGTTGCGTCGCTCATACCCTTTGGAGGATGCGTGCCTCCATATAATAAACAGTGATATAACATACTGCATTATTGTACATTCTGACCACTTTGGTTTCATTCGCGCGTAATTATAAATTTGGTCTAGTAAAAATGTGGCAAAGGGTTTAAGTCTCTGGCATCACTTTCAATTTTTGCGACAGCTTTTTGAATTTTGCTTTCAGCTGTAGTGTCTGTTAATGGATCTTTAGATTGTTTTTTCAGATCATTATATTTTACTGTAGCTAACTGTTTTTTTAAGGACCTCAATTTGCTCTAACACCAACACTTCTTCATTTTGGTCAATTGCACCCGAAGTTAAATTGTGTTCACTTTCATCAGTGTTATTTAAAATAAATCGCCAAGGATGAGGAATTTCTGTGAAACGTAAAAGTTGATGTTCGAATGGAGTAGTTAAAAACCTGTAATTATCTTATCAGCGTCTTCATTACTTTCAAAATTAGTATCAGAAGAAGAATTGTTCATGTTCCATATCAATAACTTTATGTGCTACATTTTTATTAGGATTTAAATTACAGGCAGGTGGAAATAGCGTTGGAATTGCGTTGGGTTTTAGCTTTTTTTCACTAGCAGCCATGAAGCATGCAAATGTCGACTCATTTAGAGATAGCAAATTCAACTTTTGCGACCACGGGTTCAAAAAGACGATTGAGGTTATGTACGCAATACTTGATGTGATTATTTCTTAAAAAATGAATAAATGTGTGCTACTAACATTACTTGAGTATACGCATGATGGTTGGTAGAAGGTAGAAGATAAAATGATCAATTCAGCGACAAGTGTAAACGGCTTTCTTTGTGTTGAAGATTTAGATTAAGTTTGATTAACAAAACCATATTGCGTCAAAAAATTGAACGTTTATTTTTTCAATTTATTGTCTTATGGTTTCTACTAGTGAAAAAAATAGTATATTATTAGCCACGGTTGTAAAGCCACTTCTAGACCTCGCGCTTCAGAGCCCGCGACACTGCGCATCTCGGGTTCTAATTTGCGCTCGGTCTAGAATACTTGGCTTTGCAACCTTGGCTAATAATATACTATTTTCCACCACTGACGTAAAAACAACTATTCTCAAAATGATTGTTACAAACCCGCAAACAGCTTGTATTGTTTATACCTGTATAGAACAGGAATTAATGCTTTAGCGGCAAGAAGTAATATAGGAACATGTTTTAATGATAAGTCAGAAGTTACAGATTCCTTCAGAATCTCGTGTAGCGACATCTACTTTAGATATTTGACAACTAATGGCGTCCTTGAAAACGACGCGACAGACTTTAAACAAACGAATCAGCGAACACGACGGATAGAATAAATTAGTCACACGTCAAAAATAATAAAAATCATAGAAAAATACCAGATCTTCAAAAAAACGCAAGCAAAATATTTTCATCGACACCATTCACCGAATTTTCCCTTCTCCACTCTTGAAAGTCTTGATACATTTTACTGTAAGCAGCTTTAGATTTCACCGGAACCAAACATTCACGGGCTTTCACCGCTTGTGATAGCATGTAATTCGAGATTTCATTCGTTTGTTGATACCGAAGAACTCGAAGACCTAAATCGTAACGACCTTGTGATATTCATGTTATCTTCCTCCGCGTCCCTGTCATCACAAGGATTCTTTAAACTAAAAACGCTTTTCTGATTCAAAATTTCTAGCGTTTTGTCATTGATCGCATCACTCCTGCAACTGTTGCTTCCATGATTTGGACCAGGACCACCGCCACTTTTCCTAATATTCACTTTTTCACTAGCTGTATTTTGTTTGTATTTTTTTTTTTTTTGTTTTCGTAAAACTTTTTAAATACTGCGTGTCTCTTTTTATGGAGTTTACGGCTCTGGAATTTAATTTTTCTGTAACATCCCCCCACGCTCCTCATTCTGGCTGCAAGTGACACCACCGAGTTTTATCCCATAAAATGCTGTTGCCATATTAACACTCGACATAAACTCCGCTCTACTAAGCGATCAGCTGTGTAATAGTTAAGGGACAGTTAATATTAAAGGAGGGTTAGTTAAACGAAATACTTAAGGGAAACTTCGTCAGCAACGGTAGATTCCCTCATTTTGAGTTACCAGCACGGGATGTTCCATTTTTCGAATCACGATACTGATTAGAATAAGGTAAAGGCACCAGTCATCGACAGTGCACCAGTGTCCGACACTTTACTTTGTTGTTGCTAATATTAAGCTCATTTTACGTTCAAATGAATTAGAATCAACACGGTTTTAGATGCAGTGGACTTTTCCCCTTTAATGTTGAAAATGTAGATTTTGGAAAGATCCCAATTCAGCAAAAACAAGTTGATGATTATTTATTTACTAACGAAGAAATTTCCAAAAGCTTTCGCATTTTAGAAAAATATATTCCAGTGACAATGCTTGAGGAATTAAAAAAAAATGAGAATGAAAGTGAATGGAAGGGCAAAATTACCGGCAAAAGTTTATTTTCAGTTTGAAAATATAGTCTATTGACAATTTGGAACAGACATCGCAGATTTATGGAGAATTTAGAAAACTAGAATCTATTGAATGTTTGATATCTTCTATTTTTTTTTTAATTGTGCTGAATTTTTTATTTTACTATTTTTGAATATTCTCGATGTGATAGTTTGTCAATTATAAAATCTTAGCAACAGAAGGATCTTTAAAAATTGTTCTAAAATTCTAAATTGTAGAAAATCAGAAAATATAGAAGCTATTGAATGTTTGATATGTTCTAATTTTTTTTTTAATTATGTTGAATTTTTTACTTTATTATTTTTGAAAATTCTGAATTTGATAATAATTTGTCAATTATACAATCTTGGCATCAAAATGATCTTTAAAAATTGTTCTAAAATTCTAAATTGTAGAAAATCAGAAAATATAGAGTCTATTGAAAATTTGGAACAGAGACGTCTCAGATTTATGGAGAATCTAGAAAACTAGAAGCTATTGAAAGTTTGATATCTTCTAATTTTTTTTTTAATTATGTTGAATTTTTACTTTATTATTTTTGAAAATTTTGAATTTGATAATTTGTCAATTATACAATCTTAGCATCAGAATGATCTTTAAAAATT